GATAGATGGATAGATGGATAGACGGATAGACAGATAGACAGATAGATAGATAGATAGATGATAGATAGATAGATAGATAGATAGATAGATAGATTTTAAGTACATTTTGTGACAAAACAAGTAATTATATAAATATCCACATGAAAAACACAGATCATTAAGTATCCACTACTAATCGATTAGCTATAACAAAAAGATCCTTTTTACCCCCAGGCTGAGAAACAAACACCATCATTCTCACCCTCTGCCCTATTGGGCCCAGGTTCGACTTCGCATTAGCCTCTACTGTAGCGGCTGACTTTGGGAAATGAGGGCCGACCATTGTCCATCCATCAGGCAGTATGGCTCCTGTCAGGCCTGCCCTATAGCTGGACTGCATCACTCAGACTCTGTGGGAAGACCCTCAGTGTTTGGATGAGGGGGGTTACTAAACTATTCAATCGTCAGCATGCATGTGACCCCCAAAGACGAACAAGCAGTTCTCTGTGTACCCACACGCACTGAGTGGTGATCCCGCTCTCTGCGCAAAACCCCCTTTTCAGGCCTCTGAATGGCACAGACTCATTGATATTCCTGTGAGGGGACCCCATTCTTAAAATGCTACTGAGTTTTGGGGTGTGTAGTTTGGGTGCGGGACACATTTATGTGTGGACTTGCGTGCTATTTTCAGTGTGTTCTGATGTTAAAGTAATAGATTACCAAAAACATGTAAAATAAAACTCTGTCATCATTTATTCACATTCATGTCATTCAAAACCTTGGTTTCTTTTTTTTCAGTGGAACTAAAAAGGAGATACTTTGTGAATTGTCCTGGCTGCTCTTTTCCTGATAATGAGCCATATGATCGCTTTGTGTGAGTCTTCGCTGAAAATCTTTACCAACAACATTTAATAGCTTTTATTTATTTATTTATTGTGCATACAGTACAATAATTGTAATGAATGTGCACTTGTAGTGCATTTCAAATCTTTAAAGTATATTTTTAAAAACTGTACTTGCAGTTAATATAATATTAATGAAATAAAAGGCCACTTAAGTGTACTTAAAAAGATTTCATGATTTCACTTTTGTGATTGTTTCTTAACTCACTTAAATACATTTTTAAAAGTGCACTTTTTAATAATGTCAAATTTAAAGTTTTACTTTATAGTACATTTTAAATCATTATGTCGTAATAATTTTTTGTTATGCTTTAAAGAACAATACTTATTTTGATGTATTGACTAATATACTAAAACACCTGTATAGTACTTGGTTATAATTGTAAATTTAGTCTCGCATTTGAAATGAATACATTTTTCAATACATTTCCAACTTTATAATGAATAATTACAAAATTAATACAACTTCATGACCCACAAGTATATTTTAGTTTACCGTAAATGCTAATCAGTACATTAAGCAGTACTCTTCAACCATATTTCTGATTCAAAAGAATTATGATAATTGCATAAAGATGTACTTAAATCCTACTAAAGTGGGTCAAAAAGTGCTCTAAAGCAATTGCATTTGATATAAATTTAAACTATAATACATTTTCAGTTAATTGTAATTAACATGCAGTTAAGTGTCCAAGAACATTACAGTACATTCAGGTTACACTTAAAGGCAGAGTAAGTGATTTCTGGTAGCCAATGTTTATATTTGAAATCACCAAAACAAACACGCCCCTACCCCA